CTGCTAAAAGGGCTTCATCTGTGCAAGGTCATTAAGCTGTCAGTAGGTGGCCATTAATCATCATTAATTGTTTCCTCACCAGCAGAGAACAACATCTTTACGGTGGAAATTTGTACTGACTCCTGTTCTGTCTTCATTTTGGGATAATTTCCAGGGAATACCAGCGAGGAGACGCACCGGATCCAGGTACTCAAAGCTGGATGTGCTCTCCATGCTACTCCAACTCCTATCAGCCCAGATGGAACAGACAGAACTATGCAGCACTCAAATGATAATATCCAGCCTGGTTTAGCTGGAGACAGCAAATACTTTTCAAACAGCACATCACAGAGCTGCAGAGCTGCCCAAAAATGAGCTCCCACAATGACACCGGCTGTCACTCATCACTGAGACAGGACTGCTTGAAATGGTCCTCACATCCTCTGGGAATATTTTGTTTGCCTCTAAATTGATAAAGCTTTATCCAGCTCGGCTACCAAAAGCATAAATATGAAATGTGTTAAATTGCTTTTGTTCTCTAGCTCCGGAGCTTGCTTTTAAAATCAAGATTACTGCCTCTTGGGTGATCTCAACCCCCTTTATTAGTGTTTTTAGAGAAGAAGGGGGAGGTTAAAAGCTTTCCGAAATGTACCCCATTCTGTCAGTCAAAAAAGTAAAGATATCAGTGAGCTTTTCCAGAGCACTCCTGCTTTCCAACTGGCACAGGGAAATACAGCCCCAAAACATCCTGGAGCCAGTAGGCAGGAGCTTGACAGGTGGATATCAGGAGCAGGCAAATTTTTGGCTTTCCTCTGACAATTAAATTCTGAAGGAAGAACTGAATGTGAAAGCATGCTGTGCTATAGAATCATGGAATTGGAAAAGACCTCCAAGACCATCCAGGCCACCCTGTGCCCGATCCCCACCTTGTCACCCCCCCCAGAGCACTGAGTGCCACATCCAGTCATTTCCTGAACACTTCCAGGATGGTGTCAGGTTCCCTGGGCAGCCCCTTCCAATGTTTAACCCCTCTTTCAGTGAAGAAATTTTCCCAAATATCCAACCTGAACACAAAGAAGTGGCTGGACCTAAACATCAGATTGATATTTGGATGGGGAGAAAGCAAGACAAAAATTAAACCAGCACCTCAGCTGTGCCTGGCCATGGGGTCACTGGAAGGGGCCCCTGGAAGGGGCTGTGCCCAGCCTGGGGCAGCCCCAGCCTCTCCTCCCAAGGATCCCTAAAAATCATGAATATATGATAACAGTCAAACCTTTCACTTCAAGTACCTGTTCTTAACCAAACACCACGGAAATCTTCAAATTACAACTAAAAGAGTGCACAGGATTGCTATTACTACATTATTACTACTAAAGTTACTCTTACTAAAGAAACATTTCAAACCAGCCTGATAACAGAAATAAAGCATCCTTGCAAACATGCAGACTTGGTTACAGAACCATTCAAAGCAGCTTCTCTGGATGTTTTTTCGGATCCATTTTGTCAAAGTGCTGTAAGAGAGTTTTAGATCCTCCACAAACTCAGAGCTGAGGTCAGGGAGCCTCTGCCTGTGGTAGCAGGGGATAGTGGAATATGTAAAAGTAACACTTTGTATTGATGCAGAGCAGGGAAATTTTTAAAATCCTCACTTCCTTGCCTCATACCGACCAAATCTTTGGGTGTGGGTCCAAGGCCAGGCAGGTGCCTGGAGAGGGACTGTTTCCAAGGGCCTGGAGTGACAGGATGAGAGACAATGGCTTCCCACTGACACTGTGCAGGGAGGGGATACTGGGAAGGAATTGTTCCCTGTGAGGGTGGGGAGGCCCTGGCACAGGTTGCCCAGAGAAGCTGTGGCTGCCCCTGGATCCCTGGGAGTGTCCAAGGCCAGGTTGGACGGGGCTTGGAGCAACCAAGGTGTCCCTGCCCATGGCAGGAGGATGGAATGAGATAGTCCTTAAGGTCCCTTCCAACCCAGACCATTCTGAGATAAGTTCAGCTTGTAGAACACAACTCAGGTTAAAGCCAGGAACAATCCAGAAAAGACCTGTCTGGACAAACCCGCTGGCTTACCCACAGTCCACTTGGCATGTCGGTAATGGAGCTGGGGGGGGAAAGACAAAGGTAATTCCTGTAAGCCCACACAGCATATGTTTGAGCACGAGGCACAGAGCAGCAGGTGGAGCAGCAATATCTGATCCAGCTCCCTGAGGTTCATCACTGAAGCGAGACAAGTTTCACAGTGACTGCCCAGCTAAGTGCCAAAGGCTCTCTGGAGGTGCCCTGTGGGATGGGCATCACACCCTTTCAATAAAAAGCCAATTTCTGTGGTAAAATGGATTTGTTAGGTTGGTTCAGCTGGGTCAGAAGCCTGTCATATTTGTAATATTAGCAAATTCTCTCTCGACAGAAAGATACGGCTTTAAATAGCAGCTTGTTTCAATAACACCAGAAATCAATGTCACCTTCAGCATTTCACCCGTGTCAGGGGGGAAACTAAGGATAAAGAACATTTGGATCCAAATGAAGGTATCCATTCCCCAGGCACAGACATTACCTGGACTCAGCCTTTCTGAACAAACAGCAGCACTCTGGAGTCATTGCTCAGAAGCAACGAGATCCTAGTTTTGCAGCTGAGTTTAACGCATCAAACTCCAGTGAAAGAGGCATTTTAGAAGCTGCAGCTTCTAAAATCCTGCAGCTCAGGTGCCCAAAGCTTGCAGGAGGGCTATGAGTTAATTTTGCAGAAGTTCTGAGAACTCAGTGTCACTCCAGAGCAATCAAACAGCCTCAGCATCTCTGCAGCTCAGGCCGTTTCCCTCCCAGAAGCCATCTACACAGAGAGGAGCAAAGCAGGTGCAGAACAGCCCGGAAAAAGGATCAGATTCCAGTTTCAAACGTTTTAATTTCGTTGTTTCCATTCCCCCGCCCCATCACTCAGACCTAACAACGCCTGGCACGAGGCTCGGCTCGGCAGGACCACCAGGGAGAGCTTGTGAGCCGCCGACAGGAACGTACCAAACTTCTTTAATACACGGTGAGGATGTTTGCTGTTCTTGTAATTTGTCCTGAAGGTAAATATTTTTGACACTTCATTAGGAGGAGATCTACAGCATCTCAAGAGTTGCATTAGGACTGTCAAAGAAGAGAAAGAGCTACACTTAATCTTAATAGTACAGCAGCAAATCTGCCTTTTGTCATGTGCAAGAAATACAGATGTCTCCGAAACTCTGCTGTGATTGAGGGCTGATAAATATGGATGATGTTAGGAATTACCAGGCCAAATTCCACACACTGCTGTGACTGAGTGCAGGTGTGCCCACAATGAGGGAGTTTGGCTGGCATCACCTCCAGCTCCTACCCATCAGTGAGGGAATGGGTTCAAACTGAAAGAGGGGAAATTTAGGTTGCATGTATGGAAGAAACTCTTCCCTGTGAGGGTGGGGAGGCCCTGGCACAGGCTGGACAGAAAAGATGTGGCTGCCCCATCCCTGGAAGTGTTCAAGGCCAGGTTGGAGCAATCTGGGCTAGTGGAAGGTGTCCCTGCCCATGGCAGAGGTTAAACAAGATGATCTTTCAGGTCCCTTCCAACCCAAAACCATTCCAGGATTCTATGGTTTATTGAAAAGTTATTGA